AGGGCACCAGGAAGACAGCTGTCAGTGTCTGGGCTTTGGTGTGTTCGTCGAGGGAGGCCTTGGGCTCCTTGTGCATTCCTGGAAAGGGGATGTGAGGAGTGAGTCTGAGAAGATTGATCCTGTAAAGGAGCCAATGCCAACAAGTTCTTGGGGGGGGGGTGGTGGTGAGGAGAGGTGGTGGGTGAGTGAGAGAACCTGGGAAGGATGGAGAGTGTGAGTACAGAGAGGAGATGAAGACCAGCCAGCGGGGAGGAATTGGTGGTCTTTTACAGCTGGGAAGGAGAACACTGTGTGCCAGCCTGAAGTCCTGCCCTTCACAGGCCCCCAGGAGGTAAGGCGAATCTGGTGCTAGAGTGGGAGGCTCCCACCAGTCACTGTCAAGACCCTTTCCACCGTGTCTTAAAGTCAGGGCTTCCACCTCTAATCGTTCAGCACAGTGCTTTGTGACATTGGGAAACATCACTTCTCCTTGGGCCTCAGTCTTCTCAGCGCTAACAGGGTGTGTTAAGATCGGAGGAGGGTTCTGTGGGGTCTTCAGAGCCCTGACATTCTGGGTTCCTGCCCTCAGCCTAAAATTTGCCCAGCCCTCCTCTCTTTCTGGCTGGCCTGGAACCCAATCCCTGTCATCTCTGTCCCTGCAGGAGAGCTCCCAAGGGCCTCCGCTCTTCTGCTGGCCCCCAGCAGTTTCGTCTCCGCCCTATGTGACAATGACCTTGGGGCAGCAATTGATTGTTTCTCCTTCCGTGGAGCTCCGTGAGGCTGTTGGCTCATCCAACCCGTGAGTAGAAAGTGACCGTGGGGCTGCTTGTGTCATGTCATGGGTCAGTGTGTGTGCAGCCCTGGACTTGCTGCTGTCGGCGCAGGAGGAGGAGGAGGATCATGTGACATTGACCATGGGGATCATGGGAAGGAGGAGGACACAGGTAGGGGAAGAAGGCTGCGAGTCAGACTGTGGGGCAAGGACAGGGGCCTCTCCTGATTTGACAGTTTCTACTCCAGAGACTTGGTGGTACAAGTGACTTTATTTTTCCAAGCACCCATTTTCTAGAGGTCATTTTAGCAAAAAGCACCCTATACCTCTCACACTGAGGAAAGCACCGGCACAAGGCTTGCCCCACAGTGGGCCTTCAACGCGTGGGCCCTGTTTCTCTGTATCACGACAGATGGGTGAGATAGAAAGAAGGTCCTGGTGAAACCTAGGGACATGGTGGCGAGGGCCACAGAGGCCCATGGCAAAGTCCAGAGGCCCACAGAGAAAGCCTCCTGGAAGTGTTCCAGCTTGTCCTTCCTGATCTGTGGTGGCTGGACAAAATGCTGGCAAGAACCATTCCCTGAAAACAGAAGGTCACCATATCTCTCCAGAGCCTTTGCAGATTAAAATGCAAACACTCATGGTTCCCTGATGTTTTCTTCACTATGTATCTGGGAGAGAATTAAAAAAGGGCTTGTTCAGACTAATATCTCAGGAAAAATATGTCAGAGGGGGTGTGGGAAGGAAAACAGGCTGGGCAGGACAAAGGACATGTCCAAGCCGTGGGGTGGGTCTATGGTCTCCACAGTCCTTTGGAGTCCCACCTTCTGGTATGGCAGAAACCCTGCCAGTCTCTGTCTATAGGTGCTACCCGCCCGCCCAAGTGTTTAATCCCCTCACCTCTTGTTTCCAGACTCTCGGATCTGAGCCCCCTGCCGTGTCCCACCATGGAGCATCATCCACCAGAACAGCAGGTCCCTGCAGAGAAGTTGGGGTTTCGGAAACTTGGGCGGGAGAAGCTAAGTGGATGTGTAGAGCAGACCGCTAGGGGCTGGGAGTGGGCACTGGAGGCAACGGGGCACTGAAAGGGCCCTGGAAGCACACGTTGTGCTTCTGAGAAGAGGTGTTGGCTGCACAGCTCCTGCTCTCCTCACACCTGTTTCTTTGCAGGGCCCCGCTGCCTCTGACCAGGCCCCGGTTTCTACGATCTCAGAGTGTCAGGAGACACTGGAGGCTGCCGAGGCCCTGATGACTCTGAAGAACTCTTGGACCTGGCGCCAGAGCCACAGCTAGCCAGGTAGCTGGCTTCTTGAAAAGGAGCACAGGATGGAGATGGTTGGGAGGTGGAAGGCTCTGTCATAAGTTGGTCATAGCTGGGTACATGGGGTAAGTTGGTGGTTTGCATGACTTTGGGGATGGGTACCCCAGGCTTCTGAAGCTGACTTCAGAAGGGGCACTTGAGGATTATTCAGTGAATGCTCAGTCTCTCGAGTTTTGTGCTCAGCAGTAATCGGCTGGTGCCCTGACATCAAGTGAGAGAAGGAGACCGAGGTCCCCGGGGGGTGGGGGGGTGGTTTGCAGGGACTTGCCCCAGGGCAGGCAGCATATCAACTGGAAGAAATAGAACCCAGCATCCTGATTCCTCACCCAGGCCTCGCGTCCCCAGTCTGCTGCACACCATGGTGGTGGTCTGTGGAAGACATACATGGAAGGATGTGTGTGTGTGTGTGTGTGTGTGTGTGTGTGTGTGTGTGTGTGTGTGTGTGT